TTAAGTTACGGAATTTTGCAGGCCCAGTAAAAAACCAGCAGATTTTGATGAAAGGTACCACGGGAAACATATCAGGTACAGTTTGAAATAATTTTCAAAGTAAATGGATCAAGTAGAAAACAACCAGCTATTCATCTTGTTGTTCATTTAAAATGGTTAGTTTCAACTACACTGAGTAACCTTTCTACAGAAGAACGTCAAACTAACTAGCATTAGTGACTGCCTTATCAATCAGATACGGAACGTCATATCAAAGGAAGTAACTAAAGCAAAGTAAGAGCAGTGTAAGGAGGAAGAAAATACCTCAGCCGAACTTGCTGGAGATCTGAAAAGACTTATCCATTTAACTTCACCAGAAGTTCAACGTGAAATTATGGATTCATTAAAATGTGTCTAATTATCAGACGTCACAGTGAATGAGAATATACGAATTAGGCTAATTTAAAAGCAAAATAGACGTACATTTTTAAGGGAAACTATACAGTCGGTAGTGGAACTTGAATCAATTAACGTTGCAAATAGACAACTAAAGGTGCGATCCAAGAATAATAACACTGTCATATCAAATAGTATCAGCTATCTCTGATGAAGGTCGAGAAAAACTAATATGATTAATAATACAGTTGTTCATTAAGAATGAGAGAAATAAATCACATGTGTTTAAATGACAACGTAAAAGGGCAATATTTACGTACAGCAACAAAAAAGGGCTTTCTGTGCTCTGCCCATCACGGGTATCGACACCCGGTTTTTAGCGGTATAAGTACGCATACATACCGTTGTGCTAATGGGGGGGGGGCACATTTAAACTTCTCTCCCTGAGAAATATTCTCGATTTATCGATAATATATTTTGAAATGTTATTTTACAAATGATATCTTTATTTGTACACAATTCTGAATGCATATTTCATTTCGTGTGTTTCTTGTTTGTATTTTTATGATGGTTATCATTTTATACCACACGAACCGAACGACAAAATTTAATGTTAAAATGTAATATTCCGAATACAACGTGACTAATGACATTGGATAATATGTGTCACAGGATCGACTTTAACTTATACTGAATTATTTATGAACAACTCATTAACAAAATGGAACGAGCAAACCACCTTGAACAGAAACCTAGTTACAGAATTGTATTCTCTTCAAAAGGTAGTTCTTGAGTCTCATTGTCTCCTCACATAGTCAATAAACAACACTGGGGAGATCCTTCAAATATCCTGAGTTATCCATTAGAAGAAGAAACTTGACGTTTACCTAGCCTGAACTAAAACTTATCGAACGACTTTAATCACGACTCCATGGAGCGACAAACTCTGTTCCTTGAGACATTTCATCTGCTGCGTATACTTCAACAGTAAACGGAAATAACATTCAAGAACATAACATAAAAAACATAACGTTGCACATTGCGCCAGTTTAATTTTGTAATTCATATATTGCTAGGTATTTTAATCACGTTGTTTTCCCTCTGAATGTCAATTTTATTTTTAATTGAATTATTCTAACATATGTATTTATATAGTGTAAGTATAGTGTTTAAAACAACATACACATAAAGTGTGTGGGAGAAGCACACAAACGTCTTATGTATCTCAAAGAGTGCACTAGCACTCTCTATAGAGGAATGCAATGAAAAAATATGGTTGCCACTATCACAACACTACATAAACTCAGCTGAAGTTTCTACTCCAACAGCCACCATAAGGCTGATAAGAAGAGCCGTTTCTTGAATTATACCCACTTAATTAATCATTTAAAACACTGTGGAAGGACATTAAGAAATGGATGTTGAAAGTAGGTAACAGAAAGCTCCCCTACCACCACTATATTGGCTGCTACTACTTCCTACAAAGTCACTCTGACCATCGCACAGTGTATACCATGTTTTAAGTATATACATATTGAGTTCTTAAAGTTTATACAAAACGTTTGGTTAGGTAATAATGAATACTGTAATAATATGTTAGGTAATAATGAATACTGTAATAATATGTTATGTAATGATGAATACTGTAATAATATATTAGGTAATAATGACTACTGTAATAATATTCCAGGTAATAATGAATACTGCAATAATTTGTTAGGTAATAATGAATACTGTAATAATATGTTAGGTAATAATGAATACTGTAATAATATGTTAGGTAGTAATGAATACTGTAATAATATGTTAGGTAATAATGAATACTGTAATAATATGCTCAAAGTTTCAGGAGAAAAGGTGAAGCTGTTTGATTAGCGTTTAATTCAGGACTTAAACAATGGTTTAAAGACATTTCTGAACTTAATATTAGGATAAATATTAGGGTAGAGATTGTTAATTTAGGTAGAAGTTTCGACACTAAGTGGTATCATAAGCCAACTTTCACAGGACAATATTTTCATTTTGATAGTTTTTTACCTTTTGAATTTAAAAATAACTTAATTTATAATTTAATTCATCGGGCTTATAAAATACTTCGTTCTTTTTCGTCTTTCCATGAAGAAATACAAAACTTAAAGATTGCTTTACAAAAAGATATTTTTCCTGTACATTTAATTGATAGTGTTATTAAGAATTATTTAAAACGTTGTGCACTTCTAAAATTAGTAAACAAGTTGAAAACAAAGACATATTTTGTTGTATTTTATAATTTACTGGTAATCATTCCATAGAATTAAAGAAAAAATTAAATCCATTCTGAATAATAAAATTTACCTTGATATTAACTTAAGAATTGTCTTTAAACCATTGTTTCATTTAAGTAATTATTATAAATATAAAGACAGGATAGGCCCAGCATTGACAGGTGATTAGGGCACTCGACTCACAATCTGAGGGTTACGGGTTCGAATCCCCGTCCCACCAAATATGCTCGCCCTTTCAGCTGTGGGGGCGTTATATGCGACGGTCAATCCCACTATTCGTTGGTAAAAGAGTAGCCCAAGAGTTGGCGGTGGGTGGTGATGACTAGCTGCCTTCCCTCTAGTCTTACACTGCTAAATTAGGGACGGCTAGCGCAGATAGCCCTCGTGTAGCTTTGCGCGAAATTCAAAACAAACAAAGACAGGATACCTATAACGTATTGCTCTTACGTCATATATAAATGTACATGTCCAAGGTACAATACGTTGTCTGAGCTTACGTATTAAAGAGCATGCCCAAAACACAGCACATAATCAGTCGTCAATTCTTCGCTACTGCTTACAGGACTGCGACACAAATGTCGCTTCTAAACACTTCAGCATCTTGGTGAGTGAGTGAAGCCAACAAATGCTACGCACGAAGGAAAGTTTGTGTATTCACAAGATACGTCCTAAATAATATGTTATGTTATAAATAGACTGTGTAAAAGTTAAGAATTTTGTGTTATTTATTTTTGCATCCACTCCACATTTTTTTAATTTCCTAGCCTAGACAAAGGAAGATTTATAACACTAAAATCTTAAAGGAAGCAATGCATACACATATTTTTGTTTTTATTCTTCAATAGATTAAATTTACTTAAGTTTGAAGACGAAACTACAGTTTACTTATAAATATATATATATACATTAAGTTTATTTCCAAATACTAGATAGTCACGTACAATGACTGAAACACTCAAATTCGCAAGTTGCATACAAAATAGGTTCTGTGTCTCACCTACTTTCCTATTTCTTTCTTGTATGTTACAATTGTTTTCCTAAAGGCTGTACGTATAGAGAAATACAAATATATATCATACTTTAGGATGAGTGCTTTATATGTAAATGATTTTAGGCCTCACTACCTTGTTACAGTCCACGTCGCCTTGTCTGGTCATGCTTTATCTAACCGGACAGTGTATTTTACAACTTACCTTGGATTGCAAAAGGCTCCGGCTAAAGGCTGTCACGTTCGATGCACACTCCTCCTTCCTGCAATTTTCCGCAACCCATCTAATGTACGAAGACGAATCTTTCCCAATGCCAACTTCCGCAGTCCGATCAAATAGAAATCTATAGGCACTACGTCCGGCAACTTGACCAGTTTTTTTTCGTCTGAAATAGCATGAATACCCTGTTCATTTTCCAGCTGCTTCAGGGATGTGACAGTTGGTTGAACAAATATGTCGTGGGAGCAGTTTGTGTACAAGTGACACGTGTCACTTTTCCAGACGTTGATCCTTCTTGATTATGTGAGGTACAGTGGTCTGTGGAATGTAGACGGATTGTGCCACTGTTCTTTATGATCGCGGATATTCACCTGTTATAAGATGCCACACTTTACCTACCCCAGCAGGGGTACACCTTATTGCAGATTTATTTGTGAATGGTTCTGATGCCTGAACCTCATCCATATTCATTTATTATCTAATGCCCTTAACTACTAGGGATATCACGATTTGGAAATTCTAACTCCACGATCGTAAAACCTCTTTATGATCTGAGTGTATGAATATTTTGCATCGAAAAAGAGCTGTGAGATACCCTTTACAAAAAATATCAATCTTCCGTGCCATCATACTTCACACGAACGCCAAAAAAAAAAGACAAAATGTAGTTATGATACATTCCGCTCCACTGCAATTTTACATCGGCTATAGTTTGTACGTAATTTGCTGCTTTGCATATACAAAATAGTTTAAATGTGACGTACTCAACCTTCTGTAATGGTTGTAGCTTCTTAAAAAAATTCTATTGATATACTTCTTAAATTGGACTTACTTTTTATGATACTGCCCAATAAAATATTGGCTGTTGTTTTATTATAATGGTTTGTAATAAACATAGATTATTATTAGTTCACACATTGTGGTAAGGGAAAATAATTTTAAAAAATAATAATCATAAAAACAAAAATATATCATTATGATGTTCCCTTAACATACTTATTTATTTGCTATTTTTGTACAGTTGTTTTCATTGTCATTTTGTATCTTGAATGGTCTTGGTCCGAAACATCTATCTGAGTAAACTAACAAGTTTACCACCAATTGTTTGTACTTTTCGTTCTTTTTCAATTAATATTTTATCGCTAGACATAACTCAAGCTTAATATAGACTTTATTCAACGTGTATTATGTTTAACTTACAACTTTTATGTACACATCAAAGTATTTTTTAAAACATAATCAGGGTTTGTTCAATCACATTATTACCTTTATAAACAAGGACATTATCAGCACTCGTAACGAAAACAAACAAAGAAATGACACAATAAATACCTCTTTATATATATATATATATACAGCCTTATAAGCCGGTGGTGAAGGTGTTATAAATTCTTCATTCATTTTGGCACTAGTGACTTGATTTGTGTTCAATTAAAACGTTTAGAGACTGTGTAATGGAATAAAGCTCTAAAGGATGCTGAAGTGTGCAAGGAGTGATTGAAAGTAAGGCACTTGGAAATATTAGCCGCACTTACGGAATAGAAGCTCTTATAGAATAAATGTTCATTTGAAAAACGTTGGTATTTACACAGTTTTTGATTGAAATTTCATACTAAGTATAACTTAACATGCTACTTTAAAATTAAAAAAAACTTAGTGAGTTTTAATATAAAACGTAGTTTTAAGTCATGAATAAAATACCGTTAATCACAGGGTTGCATATCTACGTGTGTATCATATAGCTTGAAAACAAGTACAGAAACTAAATTTTATAATGAGAAATATTAAAAAAAAACAGTCTGGCAATGAAGGGAGAAATAAATGGTCTAAACAACAAGAATTACATTAAAACAACAAGTTCCTGTGAATCTTGATTAGCATTAAGTAATTCACAGTAAAATCTAAACACACTTATAGACTAGATATATACTTCTACAACATTACAAACATAAACTATAATTCACTTTCAAATGACGTAGTTAAATATGGCAAGTATATTTGTTATTATACGTGTTCACGATCTTGCATTACAGTACCTTTCAAGATTCTAAAATAACACGTGACTAGAGATAAAGAAAATGAATTTGTTTGCTTCTCAGCATCTCAGTTTTTTGTTTTTGTTTTTGCAGTCGTTACAAGTTTCCACGGAGTATTTGCAATCACAACTTGTTTCGATAAATGCAATGGAAAAGACATTTTCTGTTTTGTTAGCATTTGTAGATAATTTGGTTATTAATCTTGCTGAGACAGTATGAAATGTCATTGAAACTAGATTTTTTCATAATCATTAATGTATTTCACAGGGATTTAGTATTTGAGAATATCTGTACAATAACTATGATGTAAACAATAGGCGATAGTTATTGTTAAAGAAAGCTCATCCATCAATTTGTATTCTACAGAGTCCAATCTGAATACAGATAAACAGGGTTTAAAATAATAAAAGTTCCAGAATTGATTTGAACCATTTGAATTAAATGTTTCATTCCAATGACGTAACTGATGTTCTTTTTTTTCTAAAATGTGATTAAAATGATCAAACTTGACTAAGCTCTACTGGATTCTACTGTCACTCAACATTTGCAGCATCACAAACCCATTTATATAATTTTGAAAGATAAAGTACATTTCTACGTACACATTAGCTTGGTACTGTATTAGTTTTCCCAAGTCCCAAGAATACACATAACACGTATATACATACATAGACTCATACATACATACATAGGCAGGTGCATCTCATAAAGATTCACATAAAACTACAAGTATATTCATAGCATTAAAGTAGCAAGTATAAAATAACAACCATTGGTGTTATTAATATTAATTCTTTACCCTGGTCTTTTGCGAAGTCGAACTCTTCGTTTTCTAGAGCTTTTTTTTTGAAAAAGTACATTTGTTGGATCGTCGGCTAGCAGTGGGTATCTATCTATATCATGGAAATCAACACCATGATACCATGGAACCGCTCCTGTTGATAACAAACTTTCTTTCTCGGTCTTATTCCAATCTTTTGAGCCACGACGACCGCTTTGAGCTAGAGCTACTTCATGTTGCCATGCCTCTTCGACAGCTCTGCGTTTAGCATCTAAAAGTAAACGTTCCTTCTCTTTTTCAAGAATTGAGCCATAGCGAATATTTAGTATAACATAAGTACCTTGAAGTTTGATATCCATCTTCGAGCTACCAGGGAATTTTTCATCTTCCTTTACAGCATGTATGGTAACATTAAACATTGAATCCAGACGTTGAAGCTGGTCCCAATCTTTTTGCGCTCTTCTCAAATCTGGTTGCACAAAATAAAAAGAATCGTAACCTTCGTGAGAGAAGTGGAAATCTAACATGAATGTATCATTAAACACAGAACTAACAACATCTCTTAAAACCGCCGGAGTTCCACTCACAATCCGCACGATAGCACGACCATTTTGATTGGACAAAAGAATACCATCTCCTAGGACTGAAGGAAGGTTAGCAATTCTTGAACTGATTTGACGCATAAAATTACTATTAACTTTTACTCCAGTCTGTGGAACAGTACTGAACCTATAAAATTCATTACTGATGATCTGAACCTTACAGCTCAACCCTGATATCACTGGTAGAGTTTGCTGTGTTATCACTGATGTTGATCTTTTTGCACAGGATGATTGTGTTGGAAAGAGTACTTTATTGATGTCGTAACCCAGAGCAGTCAGCCAATCAGGTAGCTCTAAAATACAATAAAATTGATAAAATTAATGAATTATATACTTATAAGTCTGTTCGGAGTAAAACGTAATGCAACATTCATATGAATCATAATATGTATTGCTTGTCTATCTTCTAAATTAGAACGTGTGGATACTATATTCACATTCCTATGTGCTTGATGTATTCACCATATATATATTTAAAGTCTTGCGACTCAGTATAACAACTGATCAACAAGCTATCCCATAATTAAAAATACAAGAAAAGAGATAAGAAGAAATAATCTGCTCTAAGTGTAAAAAATTGAATCAACATATCTTTAGAAATAGAAGAACTTAAAATTAAACTGATAATTCGTTATAGTTATTTAATAACTAATTAATCAGTAGAACCGCTTATCGAAGACGCGATTCTACTATCTAACCATATACATATCTCTCTCTCTCTTTCCTTATATTTTAATAACCTAATGAGTTTGTATTATTTGTCTCGTGGACTATAATACGTAAGAAAGTAGATATTTTACCATTCAAAGTTTTTTTCTGTTCATGTTCTTGATTGATTGGGTCATTTTCGTGGAAACGATAAAGATGAATGTTGTATGGCCTCCTCAGTAAGTTCGGGATATCTTCCCAGTTCGGAGTTAACCACTGTGCTCCAAGTGGGTCGTATACTCGACTACCAAAGTGAATTAGTTGAGTCAGAGGATCTCTGAACCCTCCCTGAAAATCAACTGCAAGGATGAATCCTGGATTCGAGTCAGCAATAACTTCACCAAAAGGTGTTCGATGTACTTCTTTAAGAACATTTCCTTCAGATGTGAATACTGTGATAGGTGTTCCAATATGATCTGTCGCAACGTAATATTTCATTTTGTCCTGGTTCATATATATCAGATGGTTGTTGGGGTCGTAAATTAGGAAGAACGTTAAGTTATTAAGGGGATAATGCATGTGTGTTATCAGATGTGGGTGTATGGGGTCTGAATATAGGAACTGGGTGATATTTCCTCGATGATCTTTTCGGCCTATTAATCGGTCAGTAGCATCATAAAAATAATTTACTTCATACTGATGTAGTTCAAAAGCCAATGTTAGTTGACCTTTGGCATTAAATTGGAATTTTTCCTCTCCCCGACAAATTACAAATCCACGACTATCAACAGAATACAGTTCTACTTCTCCATATCCTATAAGTCTGTCTCTTTCGTTATATCGAAGAGGGATCTGCCTGAGTCCGTCCCATATACTTTTTATGTTTCCATTAATATCGTAAATAAAGCGCCATGTTTGAGATCCGGTTACTGACTCCAGAAATCCATCTATAGTGAAAGTATAGTTCGTGACTATAACCGACGCATCTCTGCCAATTTTGAGCAGGGTCTGTATGATTCGGCTTCGATTATCATACTGAAGATTAAGCGAGAAAACTTCTTTATTCCATAAAGTCATTGCTAAGACAACGATGCGACCATACGAATCCATTTGAATGACTTTTGAATTGTGCTTAGTGTCATCTTGAATGAAAACGTTGTTTATATTAGACCGATAAACACGGAAGTTTTTCACCTGTTCCAACACTCCGGTTTCACTGTTGTAACGATAAATGGTTTCAGTTTTGGTTTTTCCATTTACTTCGACTTGAACTGAAGAAAGACGACCATCATAGCGGTATTTGATCTTAGCCCCATTAAATCCACTTCTACTACTGTAACGATGCTTCTCGTCTTTCACGACAGCTCCATGATAGGTGTAATCTACCCTATAATCAAGATCAATGATGCTTTTCAGAATACTTTTCACTTGTCCACTTTCTTTGATATAACGGTAATCTGTCCTTTCTCCACCGCAGAAGACGGTTTCTAGTTTTCCTTGTTTGTCGTATACATAAAACACCCTACCTTTGGCGTTTGGATAAAGTTTCGCAACAATATCACCTCGATGGTTAAAATCTAATATATATGGATTTTTTGCACCAGGAGCAACGTACAGAAATTTATAAAATCCCAATGAAATCTGTTTCGATATTTCATGTTTGTTTCCATTAGGTGTAATCACAGCTTGTAAACCTCCTGATGCATCATACTTCAAAATATAACGGCTTCCACTCTGGAGGATAATTTCTGTCGGCTAAAAATAAAGAAAATGAGGTATTTAAGGAAGTAAAGAGTTTAATCGACATTAAAGTTACTCCAAAGTGTTTTAATGTAAAGAGTATATTACATAGCACGTGACCTTTTACATATTAATTCCATTAAAAAAATCGACAACTTTAAAAATATTTTCTAATCACTGTTTAAGTATTAAATATTATTTTGTACTTACTGCACGTACTTGCTAAACTACATTAGGTAATATTGCTATAACAAGAAAAGTAGTTTTCTAATTTTACTAACTAATTAATTTCTTGATGAATATAAAAAGCATAGATAATCGTACAGGTAATTTTAAACAAAAATCCTTATTTTCAGTCATTATGTTTCCCAGTGGTGCAACGATAAGTTTATGGACTTACAGCACTAAAATCCAGGATTCGATTCTTCGCGGTGGACACAGCAGACGGCCTAATGTGACTTTGCTTTAAAACACAAATAAACAATCGGTTATTATATCTTAAAAGTTGGCCCTCTGGTTGCAGTGGTAAGCTTAAAGGCTTATAGCACTAAAATCAGGGTTCGATACCCGCAGTGTGCATAGCACAGATAGCCAATTTTGTAGCTTTTAGTTTTAAAGCAAACAAACTAACTAACTTAAAAACTACTTGTATCGAATGAGCAATATTTCCTAAAGGGCCATTGAGAATCATAAGCTTTTTTTTCAGAAAAGTCTGAATGTAGCAAGTTGCTTCAAAACCATATTACACTGCACATTTAAAATCACTTTTTCGAACACTGGCACCGCATTTATTTATTTCTATTTTTATCCCTTTCAACAATACAAGATGGGTTGTGATTTGAATAAGATATGGATCAGTTTGTAGGTTATTACGAGAACCAAAGAATACTGTCCAGAACAGATTATCCAAAAGGGATAGTCTTCATATTCTGCTTGATTGAGAAGGACATAAAGCATACTGAATACCTTTTGGAATACTTTCTGAAAGCCCTGTACTATGCCCAAACTTTCCTCAGTAAAACCTATTCTCAGTGTATCTTTTATGAAATTTAATTCCCCTAGGGCAAGTAGTTCACAAAAAAAAATTGTGACTTTAATTATGTAGTATGTGTTGTACACAATATATACATACATAGCTGCTATTTTCTTTCTGTTTATACCTCGTGAGCTAGTACTGGGGTTTCATTTTTATTAAGTATCGTAGACGTCATATACCTAATGTGCAAGTATGACATGTAAATAAAGGCTAACGTTCTGAAAAATGGCGACTGATTAGTTTGTAAAGATGCTAATTAATCTGATGTCTCACCATTCTTCAGCAATACCCTTTCAATATTTTAATAACGTGATTTTTAAATGAAAGTGTATTTCAATATAAAACAAAATAAAACACAAATGATCCTGTTGAGACCAATCGCTGTCAGAACTAAAAGCTAAAGCATATTTTCATAAACTAGGTAGCGATATATTTATATATAGTTTATTAGGCCAGTTAAAATAACAAATTGCAGTTTACTCATTAACTTAAAATATATTATGTTCATCTTTTTGTTTAAAAAGGAACTCAACTTATGGTGGTCATACAAAGTAAAGGTTCTCGGATATTCAGAAGCTTTTAGAATATACTAAGCTGTGGTTGATAAAAAATATCACTTGAAGCGACTTTAAAAGTGTAGAAGTTTGAATTGTTAATTACTGTGAACTTGTGTATAATAATCATACACTTTATCGTACATATCCTGATCTTGGGATATTCTTACTTTAGTAATGCATTACATTTCAAAAAATACCTATTACTTTATATACTTACATGACATGTCCAAACTTGAGAAATTTACAAAACTTTTGTGATGCTCAAAATGTGTGTATAACACCACAACTTTTTAAGCCAAACAGCTTTGGTGGGAATAACAAGAAATGTAAATAACTTTCTCTGCACGTTTACCTGGCTTATATGTATTATTTGGAGTTTTAAGGTATTGTACTTCTTAAAAAAAAACAAAAAAAAACCAGAGTTACATTTGTTTATATTACTAGTTTTGAAATATTTCATATTATATATCTGTGTAGTGTGTTTAATTCAATAGATATTCAATAAATAGAATGTCTTATATGAGCTGATAATTTTCGTATTTATTAAATTAAGAGTCAATTTAAACTTAGAACAGGCGTATATTCTGATAAAAAAAAATCACTTTGATCTAACTAGAAATAATGTCTGAAAATATCAACACCTGTAAAACTTCATTGTAAATATGGTGTTCGAAAAAAACACACTATTTTTTCAGCAGTGCACGTATAAAGAAAAAATGACAATGATGAAAAAATATATATTAATTACCAAGCTCATGTGACCGTCGTCGTACTTGTACATTATAGCGCTACTGTCAGAGTATCTGACCTCTGCCAGGCGACCATGGATATCGAAGGAGTAACGTTCTGAGAGATAGCCCCTTGTCCACTTTGACAGTCGCCCAAACCGGTCATACTCCAATTGAACAGCAGTGATATTGGGTGTAGGGATCCATTGAAGTGGGTGACCTAGAGCATTGTAATGGACAGAGACCAGTGGGATTTGCTTCTTGTCATACACAGTTTCACAGTACTGTTCCCGATCCAACTCCACAGCCAGCAGTGTGTCGTCGTTCACCTTAGAGGTTTTGTAGAAAGAGGAAATACAAGAATATCATTAAAATTCTCTCGTGAAAAGAATTCATTTTTACTCTTTTATGTATTACTCGCAATTAGATTTCGAAGTTGAATTAAGTATCATTAGAATTATATTATACATTTGAAATAAAAATAAACGTACGTTGACGCAATAGCTAACAGTTATTTAGTTTACTGTCCATCTGCTGATGTAAAGTGCATATTTAACACTGAGAATTTCTTACTTCTCAAGATAAAAGTGTATGCAATAAAATATAATTCTAATTTATAAAAAAAACGGTGTAATCAACACGACTAAAACATTACCTTTGTGTATGGCGTGAAGTTCTTACAAGTTTGTTATGTTCTTTTTAATTATTTCGTGTCCAGCCCTCCTGCTATTAAATATATTACTGTTATATCAATATTACTACAATATTGCTCGCCTGGAAATACAGCTCGAAACAAACACTTCTTTCTGTCAGCGCTTCTCATATATGACCTTTATAAAAAGCACTGATCTTATTTGCTCATACCAGAATAATTCATTTTTACTATTAGCATTGTATATCCTCAAGCAACCAAATCCGGAAATGAACGTTTCACTTCATATATAGAAAAATATACACCCTCCAAAAACAAAAACAAGAACAACACTAACATACGATCTACTTAGGACTATCACGTTGGGTGTTTTAGGTAAAAAACGAAATATATTTAAAGGAGTATGGATAGGACTAAAATTATCTAACTTAATTGATTTTATACCTTAAGTTGTCTACCGATCTGCCTTATTTTTCGATCTCGTCCTTTGTCTTCTCTTCTGAGGTAATAATGCCACTCAAACTTCTGAAATAAATCGCCATATAAAGACACTTTTAATCTAACAGGGGTAGGAAATATTTCTGCCCACAAAGGACTTTTTTTTACAAAAACGGGATGTGGGACCATTTCTATATGTGTAGTGCTAGAGTCTTTCGACCTTGTCGTAAAGCTGCCATCTATATGTTCAGTGATTCGGTCCTCGTTATCTCCTGTAAATAAAGCAAAAAAATATACTTGTAAGAAAAGTACTGGAAACTAGCTTGAACATTTTAGAATAAACATAAAGTTTGAATTGTATCGTAGGTTGAATATTTATTTTATTTTTCACAACACGGCCTATTTTTTTCTATCCAAAATCCGTACAAATACATACTTCTATACATGTTTGTTTTTATTTCCTTTTAGAAACATTCACCCGATTTTTAGATGATCTTGACCACATTCCACTTTTGCGACTTTTAGAATATTGCTATTTTGAATACGTTGACAATAAATCTGTTTAAGCTAGATTATGTTTATAAACTTATACCTATTATTAGGCGCTGTTTATCCATAATTTTCACAGAACATTTTTTTAAAGTTGTTTGTTTGGTTCAGATACAGTAAACTTAATTAGATCATTCCAATACACACACACACACACTCACATATATACATTTATTTATTTAAATACTCTTTTCAAATTTAAATGGCATGTCTTATTTCACTTTTTAAAAAGCAGTTTCTAAACAGCACCAGCAAGTTATAAATCGCATTTAGATCTTCATTTATGTTTGTGTTTTTCATTAAAGCACCTATACATAATCTCAGTGACATAAACGTTTGTGTTTTTCATTAAAGCACCCTTACATAATCTCATTGACATAAATGATGATCTACTTACGTATATTTCATATTTATGTTTATGATTATGTCTCCCAGTGAGACAGCGGTAAGTCTACGGACTTACAAAGCTAAAATCTGAGGTTCGATTCACGCAATGGACACAGTAGATAACCCACTATGGCTTTACTCTCAAACAAACATACAAAATTTATTATTACTGGGTCATACGTATGACAATGTGTTTACAATAGTTATATTTTCCTTGTAAAAATAGTATCTAGTGGTCAACTCTTTCGCAGTACCATAACAAGAAATAATTATTATAGGTTAATTAGGACCAGCCTGACAAATGATAACGCACGTTAGTGTAACTGAAATGGTTAATTACTTTATGTATATATCTGTATGCGTGTAGATATATTTTGAGGTTTTTCTGTTATAACTATTTGCTAGTACAGCTTTTGGAACATGTACCTGTGGAGTGTAGAAGTTTAGGAAAATGGTAATTGGTATATGCGTAGAAATTCTGTCATTGTGGCGTACAGCCGTTTTTAAAACAAGATAGTAAGCAACTATTCAAGGAGGTATATTTATCTTAATAAACTAAAAGTTTTAGATTGGGCTATGGATGTATTGTATGAAAATTTCAGAAATCTGACACATGGGGCGATAGTTGTCTTTAAAGCAAGTTTTCAACTAAGGATAAAACACACGAGTCCACTTCTTTTCTATAAACGCCTGACTTTATAAACAGAAAACTTAATATTTGATGGATAAAATGGTGCAATACTTCTTTTTGTATCATATCGCCCATTATGGGATGAAAAAAAAACTACCAGTTAGTTAATTAAATGGTAGCAGCACATGGCTTACAGTATTAATGTTTGGAGATTGTAGTAACACCCAAATATAAAATGTACCTTTAAAGTAGAAATATTGAAGTTAGTAGTGGCATTGGTATTTTCAACCTGAACGTCACCTTATGCGATATAAGGGCCAAATGTGTCTCTCAGTTATCGTATATTAGCTCAGGCGTAGCCATTTCTTATTTACAAATGTTGAACAGAGGGAGGAAAATCAGTCAGAGCACCTGCAGCCTAGTGACTGCTCTTAACGGAATAGAGGGATTATAGATATAAAGTTCCACAGCTGAAAGAGCGGATAGCATTCAGCGACTTCAATCGCTAGGCTAGGCTCATCCTAATCTTTAAGTTAGAATGATACAGTAACAAAATAATTGGGAAGCCAACAATAACGCTAGTATTACTGCCGTGATTAATGGGAGATCATACTTAATATCACTGAAGGAGTATTATACCTATGTGTAAAAGTATGGCAAAAAGTATGACGAAACACCAACAGGTTAGGCTAACCAACTGAAAGCTAAAATCTATATATATATATATGACACGAGTTTTAATTGCTGAGTTAGAAACTTAAGGTTATTATTAGCATATGAGGAATAAGTGTTCTAAACTGAATAGAAAAGAGCTTATTTGGCTAACTGATTTACGTTCCTGCATTAATTTTCGATTTGGTAATCTGGTGTTGTAAGCACAGAGCTAATCTTCTATTAATCGCTCTGAAGAGAAAGATTACTGTTTTTCGCACTGTTTAATTTTTTGCTGATTGACTAAGAGATGCGTCTGACAGCTAATTAAATAGAAAACAACAGTTCTGTACAATAATAGCTTTCCGGATTGCGGAGTTCAAGTTTGATTCTTAGTTTAAAAAGACGTTTCGTACTGAAGCTGAATCGTCTAAGAGTTTTAAGTCAATTTTTAATTGATTGGCATAGTCTGTTTTATACCTTATTTCGTATATATCTTATCGTACTAGTATTTCACTTCAGATTCTTCATTTAAGGTCTTCTAACTAACACTTCAGGTTGCTCAACTGATTGAAAAAGACTTGTCTGTCTTTGAAACATCGAAGTGGCTGTTCCCTGGAGTTGTTTAAAGGAATTAAAAGAAATAGGTACGGCCTTTCTGACTTCACAATTTTTTCACCTTAATGGAGCGACTACACAATAGAATTCTGATAAAACTTTAAAGCATTATTTCAGAGTTTTTTTTTTTTATACGTGTCAAGTGTGTGTGTGGATCGATGATGTTTAAAAATTTAGAGAAGTAATATATTCTTTAATAAACAACGTACTGGTCTGAAATGTTTTATGTTTGAAGTCAAGCACAAAGCTAAACAATGGGCTATCTGTGCTCTACCCACCACGGGTATCGAAACCTGGTTTCTAGCGTTGTAAGTCCGTCCGCAGAAATAACGCTGTGCCACTGGGGGGCAGGTCTGGTAAAGATTTTCTTGATGAAATTCTTAAAAATGTGCTAACGAAAATAAAATATAAAAAAACAGAAATTAGCTATAATTGATTATAAGACGTTAAACTGTCGTAAAATATATTGGTAAGATTGGCGTATCTTACATTAGTATTAGAAACAAACTATTATGATTTATTTTTAGGTGAAAACCATTCTATAAACCTGGTGTAGTGTACCATAAGTACAAATATATTGCTAATTAAAAGTACCATATTTTGTCTTTATTTACTTTAGGATTTTTTCTGAATTACTAAATATATATATTTGCTTAAACTTTTGTATTACTTTTGCTTATAGTGAAAGAAGAATAACTATTAACTTGTGGTGGGCTATGATTTTTTTTTCATGTATGACTAATTACTTTTAATTTGTTCAAGTTTATATAATAAAAGGACTTGTTTTGAGATACGTATATTTAAAGGCTTTTTTTCTATCTCTAATTAACATATACCCACAAACTTTACAATTTTGTTACTAAATTACAGTTTCAGTAATTATCTCTGAAATGCTCCCTTAACTCTTACGTAACAAGTGTTTGGTTAATTAGTTTAATTGTACTACCACGTATTTCTATTATTATGATTGGTAGACAGGATTCTTTTGGTTTTGGTTTTGTTTTTGGCTGTGTTTGTATTGTTGATAATGGTAATATTCAATGTACCTGTAGGATTTGCAGTTTTTCTTGTTGAAATAGTTCTATTGTTTCTGATGTTTGAAAAAGATTGTCGGTGTATTGTTCTGGATATTTGTTTTTTAAGAAAAGTGGCTTAAGGTTATTCAAGGCTTCTATTGTAGAGTTTGATGTGGAATAGTTTCGGTGTATGCTCTTTAGTCCACTCATTACAGTACTTTTTGATACGGTCGAGATCATGTGAGGTATAATGAAAACAGATTTGTGTGTATACCAGACTATGTAGGTGTTGATTGTTAAATAAAACATCTTTAATTTATTGTCATCCTTTAGTTTAGTTACTGTTTTGTTTATTTTCGCTTCTACTTTTTAGCAGTTTCTATACAAAAGCCTGTAATATTTAGTTTTCAGAACCTGTTTGCCTAAATTGTATGACGTCATAATCCTATACATACTTCATACATATAAAAAAGAACAAACACTGGAACAATGCTTAAAAGGTATATTAGAGATATCACTTTGTTGTATAATATTTTGAAAAAAAACGTATATTCAAAGCGTTGAGACAAAACATACTTATGGAACGACAATTTTACTGTTCTTCATATTACGAATATAGAACGCATGGCTTGAAATATAGAGACGTTATTATGGGTTGATAAATAGCCTATAGACTAAAAATTATTAATAATCTTAGATAAAAAATACTATAAACATAAATATTGTGCATTTGAAGTCGAATTCGTAAGACGTAGAAGCGTTATGATATTTGTTGATTTGGAAAGTCGTTCCCATGGGAAATGCTCCTTTTATACAATTCTTAGACGCGCAAAATATTAAAATGTACTCTAAACCTCATTCTCCTTCTGCCATATTGCTAAGTCATATTATTTGGCTTATATTTTTAGGCATTGTACTGTTTAAATAGAAGGACTATAAAGATTAAAACATGAGCAATAACTCTCACGTTAAAGGATTTTTATTTAACTCTATTTGTGCAATCCATCAGCATGGTGAAAATGTGTAACAAAGAGATACATCATTCCCATAATGTATTTCAAAACAAATATTATTTTCTTATTTGAAATGTCGTATATAATGATTACGATAAATACTGTATATTTGATCACTCTTTTTACCACTATTTTTACCACGGTTTCCATATTAATGATAACATATAAAGTTGAAAGTGTTATATCTCGGACGAATGACATTTTTGACTTTTCAATAAAGGTTAGATAATAATCCCTGTAATGAACAAAAGACGGATTTTGAAACATCTAGGGCATACGCTCAACAATCTAATAACACCTAAACAAAGTGCTTATTAAATTAGGGGATAATAAAATCTGTCTATATTAGCACACAGATGTGCTAATCATCTTAAATATTTTTTCGGTTTCCCATTGCACAATATGAATTAAAACTGAATATATCATTTTATAGGTATAACAATACTCTGTTGAAAAATATTCTTCGTAAATACCAATATTTGGAAACTAAATAAAACCAGTACAAGTGTTTTTGTTATATTACTGGTAGTTTAGGATACATGATTTTCTGTTTGTGTGGATAGTGCAATAATTAGTAAATATCTGCGTATATGTTTGTGGTATTTCGTTTGAGTAAATAACAAATACGTGACAATATATGACTGGTAAATGTACTGCAATTTTTGGTTTGTGATGTGTGCAGTCGTGATACTTGTGTGTGTACTCCTTCCTATTTTACTGGTATTAATATAGTAAATGATGATATATACTTAATAAATAACAAAATGTTTGCGTTTTATTTTAAAACGTATGAATGTGTTTGGTAGGAGTTGGGATTGGCTTAATATAAACGGATATGCTATGTCAACAGTATTATAACCGCCGATGTGCCGTCAAATCGTATATTCCAAATCATAGAATTTAACAGCACTTCTACAAATGCCTGATTAAAGTAGTTTTTGTTGGATGACAAATATACTGTTTTTTAAAATATGAAACATTTTTTCTTGCTTATCCAGCCTTGTAATTCGGAAGTCTTTAATAAACTTTACTTTTTTCACACACTCGTGAGACGTGTTTGGAAATGCTTGATACATATTCTCCTTTCGTGTCCAAGCGTTGGTTGATTCGAAAAGAAAGGAGTCTTTTGTTTGTTTGTAATTAAGCACAAAGCAACACAATGGTCTATCTCTGAAACCCGGTTTGAAAGGCGTCTTATCGTTAACCTTTAGCATACTTCTTAAATTTTATTGAGTGAGACATGTGACGGATTTATTATTATATATTTATTTTGATATCAACATTTGTTTAGATTAAGTTTATATTTAGAAACATGCATAGCTAATAGTGTTAAATATGTGTTGCGAAACTCCCGCCTATACTCTAAAGTTGTAGAAGATTTTCGAGTGTAAAAATCAATAATATATGTAAGTACGTAAACGCTAGTGTTAGCGTCAGTATTGTTACGTAAAAGTGAAATTTCGAGAAACCCTCCACACGCCTATAAATATAACCAACGCGCCGCGCCTAAAAAGTGTGTCTATTATTGGTTTGCTAAAGTTGGTGTGCTATAAATTTCGTAAGCTATAACTGTGATTAACGCTTACTAATCGGAAGACTTCAGATATTTGACCAGGAGCATTTACAAAGTTCGAACATTACATAAATATAAATCATTGTATTTAAACCATTGTGTGTAATAACTCTTTGTAATAACTGTTATTGTAAATTGTATTGTTGTTTGTATATTAAAACATATTTGTGTTAAAAAAGAAAACTGTGTGTATCAATCTTGTTAGCAAATATCATAAGCTGACTATATATCGGCTTTTACTTAATTTAACTGCTAAATCGAAAGTACAATTTAACTACGAAAGTGTCAGTTAACTCAGTTTCCGACCAATAGGAATTTTAATACGTAACAGACAACATTCTAAATCTGCTTCTAAACCAAACGTAAGTTCTAGATTATTTATGAGACAACGAGCCTTTCATTGTCAGGTTCCATAAACTATTATTTTTTTACACAAAACTAGATTACAATGTTGATATAAATCAACGCTGCTATATATATTTTTGTCTTTTGTAAACTTTCTGTCTGTCAAACATTTTCCAGCTCAAGATATTATGTACCATTTGTATTAAGTAATTTATTTGGACTATCACCACGTTTTTCTAGTGTGTTTTGTTTATGCACAAGCTTTCTGCTCAATTACCTAAAACTTCTACAGGTGCGAGCCGTTTAGTTGTTTACTAAAATACAAATACAAATATGATGAGTACTCACGTTAAAAGCCTGAAAAGTTAATTATGTATCGTTCATAAAATTATAAGAGATACCGAAGTAAAATCAATTTCAAGGTTTTCACAATAAGACACTTTAGTAAAAACATGCGAAAGTAAAATAGCTCATAAAATAGAAAATGAAAGATAAATCAGAAAACAGGTGTGAAATTTATATAACAAGCTTGAATTGTTAAATAACTTATTGATTAAGAGAAGATACTTTTTTGTCTTAAATAACCAATGTATGTGGAAATATATGAGTGAATGTGTTGCTGCACATTGATTGCGGTTGTCAAACTTTTCAAATATGTTTCGTAAGTAAACTAGACTCATTATAGGTGACAACGTCAATGTACCGTTTAGGATCAAGAATTAGAGCTCAGAGAAACAAACTGGTAAAAAAAAAACATTCTTGTTCTTCTAGTACAATCCTCCAAAACGTATTGTTTTTAAAATTAACCTGTTCCAAATGCAAAACAAATAAAACTCAAAATAGAGGAAATTATGAAAATAGTAAAGAATGTACAGTTGTGTACTTTTTTATTTAAAAATTAAATATAAATATTTGAAATAAATGAATCGCAGCCGTACCTGATTTTGTTATTACGTCAGATCCTTTTATAATAAGTGACACTGGCTCCATATTGCCACGGATAATAGTAACTGAAGCGCCTTTGGTGCTGAGATTATAGGATAACTTTATGTTTTCGCCAATAGGAGATACAGCTTCTGTTAGCCGGCCATAGTCATCATAAATATAAATATAGGCTCTACCTGAACTATCGATTTTGCTGGTCAATAGTCCTGTACTTCCGTAATATTCAAACACTGTCTTGAAATTGTCTGGTGTAGTGAAGCTCTCAAGCATTCTCATACGGGACATTTCCAGTCTACATTTGCCACCCTGAGTGTTTTCAATGGTATTCACCTGATTGCTGTAATCTCTTAGAATGTAAATTTTGTTACCAGCTGCATCAGTAACAGTGCTTAGCTTTCCAAAACTAGTATTCACATTGTAAGAAAAGGTATATACTGTCTTGTCAGTTAGAATATTCTTAGTTGCAATATGTTGCCCATGTCTGTTAAAAACGTAAAGCTCTTGTGCCTGAGGAAAATTAATTTCGTATTCCTGAAAATCGTTCGGCTGAAGAAGAGATGCTGAAATAGATCGAATTCTTAAATTTCCTTGATCAGATATGTAAAGAATTCCGTCAGGTGTTACCGTTATGGAGGAAATGGTATTAAATTTGGATGTTGTCGCAAGAAAATTGTTTTCATCAAAACATTTACAGCTTTCCTCTAAGCAGCTGCAGTTCAATTCTGCTCCAGCAAAATGCGATATTCTTCCATCGCTGCCAACAACGCGAACTCTGTTTACCAACTGTGAATCGCTTTCGGCAATATACAAGTCTCCATTGGGATCAAATGCGATCCCTTGAGGAGATTCTAAGTAACTCTGTGTAGCAATGTCACTCCTTTCCGGGAAAGCAGTAGGATCTAGACAATGGGAAGAACGACCAGCTACAACTTTCAAACGCTTGTCCTGGGTAATCCGGAGAACCATGTGATCATCCAATACATGCAAAGAATTGTCCAAAGGATTCAGGCACAATTCTGTAGGCCAACGAAGATTCACCTAAAGAAGATATATACACTGGCAATGACCCTTAAAATCCTTTAAATAAATATGGGAAATGAATTTATTTTGTTAAACCTATAGCACTTTAAATAATGATATATATTTGTAAGAATACCAATTTTTACTTATTCTTTTTTGCTGAAAACTTTGGATAGAGCAATATAAACTATAGCACAATAAACATGTGAACTTATTCATATTCCAGTGCAAGTTCCGCTATCCAGATGTTTTCAAAGGCCATGACTATGACAAAACACTCAATAGTATCTAAAGCTCACCTATACATATCACGCAATCACTTTTATTGAGTCGTTGAAATAGAATAATATGCATATATATTTTGGTTTTAAGCACGAACTTTCCATTACTGGCAAAATGGGAGTTGATATTTAACGTTTTCAGTTGTAAAATATTTTCTTTATACAAAATTCGAATATCTTATCTCACCTTTCTCTATCAACAACAGCGGTAGTTATTTGAAATATATGATTTTATTGATTATAATCTACTTACAGCTAAAATCTTCAGCATGGCATAAAACAGCATATTTCAAGTATCTAGAATCATTTGAAATTTTGTGTTACAGACATAAAATTTGAAACGAAAATACAAATATCATGCCTGGTTTAGTTTTACTGTTCCACTGCAAGGTATCGGTTCCCAGTTACGCTTGTGGTCATGATCGCCTAACAGAGTATGAATGATTCCAGCTTTATCTACAATCCGAATATTTGTACCATCAGCAATGTACATCTCATTCTGGGGAGATATTGCAATTCCTTGAAAACAAAACACAGTATGATCAGAAGCATGTATTATCACAAGAAACATTCAACTGAATATTGGTAAATAATGACAACATTTTATAAATTAAACTTATATTCAGCAGTATAGTATTATGAAATATTGCAGCCAAAGGAGTAAACAGTTCTCGATATTATATTGTTACTTTATTGTTATTAACAGGAGAAGTGTAATAGTTAGACCATTAATGTACAGAATTAGAGAAACTAAAATTCTAACACTAGAAAGTCTTAATTCGTTACTTTGTCGAGACTTACATTCAACAAAAATTACTGTTTATCAAATATATCAAATATCTTATATTTTACAAAATTAACCTATGTTTAATTCAGTAAAATATCACATTTACAACTAAAGTATATAGCACTTAACGGATGATTCCTTCTTAATTGTGTAGACTAATTACTTATCCGTATGTATGAGAATAATTAGCATTAATATATCATTTTCAAAATGGAAATTTATAATTAAGCTTTAATACTTAATTGAAATAAAGTCTAAAAATTTAATACATTCATCATTATCATCAATAATCAGTGTTTTGTTAAGTAAGAAGACACAAACAGGGTTCGCAAGTCATAACTGCTTCTTATACATATTATTAGCCGTTAAAAACTATAGCATCTTAATTGTAATGATTTACATTTATTAAATAAAAATGTATAAATTCTTGAACCATAAATACACTATAAACTGCACTGATAATATATTTTGTTAAAACACTACGAATTTATGCACGAAATAATAAGTCTAATATTACCCAACAGGTTATCCTCTTAAACATCACTCCAAAGAGGTATGAACTCACTAGATTAACTCCATTTCAACATTAGTTTCACAAGATAATTACATTCTTTTCTGTATAAAAATGTGAAACCAATTAAAATAAAATATTTTTATACATATGTGTCCATACTATTACATTCAATGTATCCTATTATTTATATTACAATTTTGTTTACTTGCTTGCAGCTTACGTGCAAGAAAAGAATTACGTAATTAATCCTTTTAGTTGCATGTTTGTATACTGATCTGATAAGCACGAGACATCTTCATGATCAATAGTTTAATTAAACACCATGTGTTATTGTTGTTTAATCCATTCAGTACATTATAAACGTGAAATAATTTATGTTAGTTCATTAACAGTTTTAATTACGTGAATTGTAAGTTACATGAGTGAGTTTTTGTTTATAGCACTGAAATAGTTAAGACGTTTTTCGTATTTCTAGCTTTTTGGAATACAAACCATTTTCTTTCTCGAAATCAGTACATATAATAAATTACGCATTAGTGATTTGGGGTTTCACGGTTTGTGGATTTTTTGTTTTATTCAGATTACACTATTTAGGTTTCTAGTTTCATAGGCTATACATTGTATAATAAGTAAAGTTTAAATATTACCCCACAATATAAATACTAGAAAATACTTGCTAAAAGTATAAAAGTAGGTCTTCAGAAGTTTTATTTACTAATTTCCAGACCACTGTCCAACAAACTCCAAGCTTGACGGGCTATAGATTTGGATTTCGTTACCCCTCACCCCCCAAAAAATAAATAAATAAATAAATCTCCGCATTTTGGATCTGTATGTACGTTATAAAGTTGACAATCAAAATCAACTATTTGGTCAAACAAGAGCAGCCCGAGAGTTGATGGTGGCTGCTCTTGAGTAGCTGTCTTCCCTTTAATCCTTGAGCAGCTGTCGTCGTTTGTAATCCTTGAACAGCTATGGGCGAATATCCGAAAACAATAACAAATAAAGCCATCGGTAATTAAGAGATTAAAGAAGTAGTTAGAACATTATAATTATTTTCAATAAAAGAGTATAGAAACTGGGTTTCGATACCCGTGGTGGGCAGAGCACAGATAACCTATATTGTAACTTTGTGCTTCTCTTCAAACAAACAAACAAAATAAAAGAGTATCATCAGTATATCCAAACTTTAGCGCTAGGTTACTGATGCACATTGAATACCTAAAATAAGACCAATATTTCAGAAGGTAATTAAATTTATACAAAATCAAACAGCGAATACCATAATTATTCCATAATAACGAGTAAAAAAGCAAAAAAAAAAATTGGTTATCAAAATTGATTTAGCAATGTAGCTCCGGAAAAACAGGCTCCATAAATAGAGTTAATGTATAAACTAATGCAGCATGATACATTATTCGATACTAAGTGTTTCACTGACAATATGTTTATCACATCTTATTTACTAGATCTAAACCAGGTTTCTGTAAAAAGAACGCATAACAGTATTTCAGCTTTATGTTATTTCTTGTGTGCCACTGCCGGCGAAGCATTTCGCTCAATATAATACTGAGAGGCCAGCTGGATTAGATCATACAAAATATGCTCCCCAGTGGCACAGCGGTATATCTGCGGACTTACAACGCTAGAAATCGGGTTTCTATGCCCGTGGTGGGCAGAACACAGATAGTCCATTGTACTTAATTCCAAGCAAACAAATAAACATACAAAATATCACTTCAGATGAATAATTTTGCTATCGTACACATATAACTATTTTTTTAAATCCGTTCGATCATAATGTTTGAGAAAAAATATTGTTATTTTGTTAATACTCATATGAGACTTCTTATTTGTTTATATATGTAATGTGGAAAGGCAATTTCCACAGACTCAGTACAGGAATTAAATTTCATTACAACATTTAATAAAAAAAGAATATCAAACGCGTTTCACACGAAATTTAATTAACAAGTATTAATATTTTGTACACATCTTCATCTTACGCATTGGTATGAAGTGAGATGTAACATAACGTCGTTTGAAGTTGAATAAGTGTGTAAGTAAATGGCCAGCCTCTGATCACTCCCTAAGGAATTAGAAGCTTACAATATTTTAATTCATTAGAAAATGATTGTAATGAGGAGTATAGCGGCCACCTCTCCAAGTTCGTACGATATGGAGATTACAAGACTTTCTATAAATATTAAATGTTATAATAAGGGATACATGAACATGGTATTATGTACGAAACAAAAAGAGAGGTCAAGCGTGTGTTTGGGAGATAAACATAAAGACAAGGGCTTAACGATAAAAAAGAGAAGAAAAAGAAAGGAAGACCAGGTCTGATGTGAGAGACAAATATAAACAGAAAGAGGTGCAGGAAAAGTAATATGCTGCCAGTAAGAAACTAAAAACCTATTTCTAACCCTATGCGTTATTAATCAGCACTGTTAAAGAGCAAGTTATGTTTACCTTAGTGTGGGTCAATGCCTGAAACAAGAGGTACAACTTAAATAAAGTTGATGGGAAGAAGGGAAAACGAAATGTGAATAGAGCATGATCTCAACATGCGTTCAAAGCACAGTAAGAATAGTTTTAAGTTATTAATTATCAAAGGGAAATAATGACTTAAATGATTTCTTTGAAATTTCACTTATTTTCACTTAATCATATGATAATTAAAAATATTCTAAGGATTAACTAGGATTACATTTACAATTTTGATAACCCAAATATCCTAAATATAAACTGTAATTATAGTAACACTTGTGATACTTAATTTTTATAAAACACTAAATCTTGTGTTAATATAATTAGTTGATTCATTAACATTAATGCAATTTAAATTTGTTTTGGCTTGATTGAAAAATATCAAAAACAGCTTCGAAGCTATTACGCTTCGGCTCCCAAACCAATATTGCCACTGGAACCCAGATAGCACTAATAATACTCTGTACCTTTAGGATAAGATAGTTTTGCGTTCCTAGCGGGTTTGCCATCACCACAAAGGAGTTTATCTCCCGGTAAACACTTTAAGCCACTGCCAACTACAACTTCTATATTTCTACGAACATTCTCAATATCTTTGAAGCTTATAGTTCGAAGAACTTGACGTCTTTCCGGATCTGAAATATACAGTTTTCCATCGAGTGGCCCTACAGCCAAATGGTACTTGTAGGCGACTTGAGTATCACTAACAGAGAGAGAGATATTAAATAATGTAGTGAGCGTTATTTATGTATTTTGGAACGTCTTCCGTTTTATACACATACGTTGTTGTCTGAAAAACTCCATGAATACAATACAAGAATATTTTCAATTATTAGAACGTTTTGTAATCCTCACGTTTGCAAAAAAAATAATTAAAGAATAAACACAGAGACATGGATTAATTGAAACAACATACGTTGAGTTATTTCCTCTGTTTCTATCTTAATAATAAAAAAAAGCGTAAATACTTTCAGTATATGTCTTTCGCAAACCTTTGGATATTTCTATATCAAATTATTCAATAAGGACTGTTTTTCCACATGTTTCCTGCTGTTGAAAAGGAAACTCATTTTTCTGTCAAAACGAATTTTAAGACAACATTCATAAATTAGTCAATTTCCTATGAAATGGGAATATCTAGTTTAATTTTTTCAATTGCTATTTCATCTCTACGCTTATTTATTTACTACAGAAAAGGAATTCCCTAGCAAATGAATAAAAATAAAAACAGACAGGTTAATTCTACTATAAACTGTTGTCTCAAGTAAAGTCTATGTGTAGCCATGATGTTTGTCAAATTTTATAAAGAGTATTCTATATTTTTGTTTAATATATATACATACGAAATGATATATTTTACTGTAGCCATAAGGAATAAACTTTTCTTAAATAGTCAGTAGGTTAATGATAGGCCCTATTGTTTTGATGCAGATTTATATAGTTATGAGTATTTGAAAACTTACCAAAGAATAAAACGAGAACAAAGAAAGTTTACTGTTATAATTCACATGGTAGATAAAGGTGCAATATATTTAAATACTTTATAAAATAGTTGATTAGCAATTTTGTATTGAATGGTACCTAACATATTTAATTTTGGAAGAATTTACGATACTATTTAAATTTTGATGTAGAAAAGTAACTTTATTAATTATTTCAAGATGGAAATAAAAGATATTTTCGCATTGTTATTATTTGCTCCAAGTGATTGTGTATTTGAAATAAGTGAAACTTAGAGGAATATAATTTCTGCTGCTTTCTGAATCGCAATTACAAAGAAAAGTATTTCAGTCTAATGCAAGATCAAATTCGTCAACATTACCGCCCGCTTAACTTTCCACATAGACAGAGTTTGTAAACATGAAAAAAAATAGGTTTTTGGTCGGATTGTTAATCACAGATTGTGGTATGTGTATAATTTGCTGATCAACAGTGCTTTTGTAATCGGAGTAACTGTCATCTTCACGTTATAATGTTGCTTTAAAATTATTATAATGACGTGAAAAATACTTCACAACGAGCAAAGCTTTTGTTAAAATTAAAGAACTTTTTTTGGAGATAAAATGTATACAGTGAGCACAGCCACATAATAAACTATACTCCCAAAAGTACTAGGAAAACATAGAAAGGGTGTGTCAGTTTTTGTCTCTTGGGCCTTATTTTACTAAAGTACATTTGCTACTTGTAATAACTTTTGCTTCATTACTCATTCAAGCCGTTTCCAATCTATATTATCTAAAAGTGGGTTCCTCGTCATCAAATTGGACCTAAATGTAACGTCAGTCACAGCCTGGGCTGAATTAGTAAGATTTGTCACCAACATTAGCGTAATAAACCACCGCTCTATTTGCAGAACAACTCAAAATATAGTGCGATTTAGGATATGCTTTTCTACTTTCGGGTTATAGTCCAAAATCTCACTAAGCAGTTCATAATAAATAGTGGAACGGCACGGCAGATTTCGAACATTATTTGTGAAAAACCACTGTTGAAAACAACATGTGGTAAGCCATGGTACGTTATCATGCATGCTTAAAAAGTATAGCCCTTTCAAGAGATATCCATCCAATCAATATTGTCCACAATGTTACAATAAAATAAGGATTCATCCTAGCTAAAACAGGTTCCCATAATAATGCTATCCTACACCATTATGCAAGTTAAGATAATACAGCCATAGTGCTTTCCCGGCTGATATCAAACCCAGATCACAAAATGAATTGTGGTAGTTGTCGATACTTTAATTTAGACAGCTAAAACATTATGATAGATAGAATCTTGCATTCAAAACTGTGACGGAGTGTAACCTGTTAGGGAAAAATAGCAGCCCTTAAACACCATGGCACAGAGACATGCAGCCCTAAACCCTGAGTTAACTTATATGGACTTTAAGCCACGACGAACTGCTTCGTTTCAAAATATATTTCAATGTTTCCATGACCAAGGCGTGAATAATCACTAGTACTTTGTGGCAGCTGTTAAGCCTCATAAACTCTACACACAGAGCAGAGAATCGTGGGTTTCACATGCAATTACATTATAGATGAGTCAGTAAGTAACTCGGGATTTGTTGTCCCAAAACATTTGAAAATATGGTGTAGTTATAACAATAATGTTCACATCTATTTTCAAACTTAAATGAAAATCCTAACTGTACAAGTGTAACCTTTAAAATATTGTTTTGTTACCAAACTAAGCTCTAAACTAATAAAACGTATGTTTCATTTTATGACGTTTACCATGCTAAGCTTTGATTTGTTCCTTAAGTGTTGTTACTGAACAACACATTCATATTAAAACATTATAAATGGTATACGTAGATCTCCTTATAACTTAGTAATCCAGAATGTAAAATAAACACTGTAAATTAATTTTGTTGCATACTTTTATTACCAATGTCAAGTAATAGAATATGCTAATTCTTAACTATTTCTTTGAACTTGAATAAACCTTTGATCTTAACTGATAAGTATAAACTAGGCTACGTTAAAAACTGGAATAAAAATTCGTATCATTTTCAACAACCAATTACACTGGCCAAAAAGTCATTTTCATCAGGTGGGCTAGATAGATCTTGAGACGCTTATTCCAAATATGTTTGTGGTTTTCCTCTAGCACGTCAAGTTCTCGTGATGAGACCGATCAAATTTGAAAGGTTATTGTCTGAATTATAATTTAAGTTGTTGTACCTTTCTTTTTCATAAGTGTGTACTGTATAAGTTTAACCAAGTGTATGATGTGTACAACGTTTATGGGAATTATACTGAAAAATGAATAAAGTTGTAACGTTAACTAGCCTAATGTGTGATTATTACCTAAATTGTGCTGAAATTAACACCAGTCATATTTCGATAACTAGATGTGCTAGAAGAAAATCGGAATAAGCATGCAAAGTTGGTCTAGAAAAGTGTCTTTACATCTTTGGTGAGAGAAAAAAGTTCGATTTTGTCGACCAGCGTTATTTGACCATTTCTTGTTAATAGTATAGAGCACAAGTGTTCCTTTTCTTATAAGCGTGGGTGATGAAATTAGATATGACAAATGCATTTGTGTAAAATCAACTATAAAACAAGTGGAACTCAAAATACATCGCCAATGTCTTCTCCTCTGACAATTCAAGGAAGAGATTTAGTTTCGAAAATGACAAAATGAATTTTCTAAGTTTGGGCCTACTTAGAAATACATTTTTTTCTCCAAACGCTTATTCCTAATTTACTTCTTTCAAGGCGCCTTTATTGCAATTTAGTTCGTAATCACGTGCTCATCGAGCAGAAAATCAGGCGTATAATGTTTGTATTTTTTACTATAGAACCTAAAATTGACAGAACCAAAGAGTGCGACTAGGGAAGGAAAATAGTTACTGTTAAGAAAATATTATTGTTTTACTTGTATGATCTTAATGCAAATGTTATCATATATATTTCGTTTCAAATGTTAATTTTTCTTTTTGCTTCTCCATACAATAGGCTAAATAATGGCTGGAGACGGCTTAAATGGGTAATGAAGAAAAACTTTAATATAAGTTTAACA